GGGGGCGGGAAGGTGTTGTTGGGAAAGAAACAGGTAGATAATGATGGACTACCAGTAAGTGGTGAACACTGTTTTCATGACTTTCGATAGTGCGAATCTTGCATATCGTAACCACCACGGAGGTCTGAGACGACAACAAAGAATTCCAGCACGTCCGGTAAGCACTCTCTATCGACTCTGAAGGTCTATGCTGTCAGACGACCAAGTGAGGTGCTTGATTTGCAGTAGCTCTGCTAAGCCTCGCCGCCGTTATGAGGCTTCTCCAACGCAAAGTAAGTACACATTCTTACCGCGAGCATGGAAATTTAGGGCAAGAGATGTATCCAGACGGCTGCTATCTGTCTGTAGAGCCAGAGGTTGTTCCCGCTGCTGCTCGCGGATCTCAGAAAACCAGACCGAAATATCTACGTGGACTGCAGATGCCAGCAGTCATTAAGAAGCTGGACAAGGAGATACATGGGGAACTTAAAGGCTACAGTAGCTCCAGAAAACCGAAGCTCATATCAAGCATATAGCAGCTTACGCCAGGAAGTCGATCAGAAATACTTCGGTCACGTTGTCATACATATACTCCTGGATCGCTTCCGTTCTCTTTGAGTGAAAGCAGCCCGCAACTAGTATGGATAATGAGATATCCAGCATACTAATTATAACGCGGGATCGTAACAAATAACGCATATTTAGCCTTGCGAGTCCCAAATGAAGTCCAATGCTATCCCGAGCTAAGCTAACGAGCGCCCCGAGCGAGCTATGTGGCACTCGATACTACCGGTATACTAAAGTAGCGTTGAGACGCACCGCAACGGTTCTGCTTTAGCACTTCCTGTACTCTTCCGTACAACACTAGCTCCTCCGTAGTGAGTACTTGCAATCAAATTAGCTCTTTCTCTGTCTTTATACAAGCATGTCATACATATCCATCCACTAGCGCAGACTAGACTAAACTATATACAACCTGACATAGGAATCTGCAAGAAAGTAACCGATGAACGGTGAACTCCTACACCGGGAGTTCCACATCTGAAATCCTAATAAACATGCTAGCTAGCTCCAACCAATTCTTGAAGAGCAGAGAGTATCACAAGTGAATCGGCGACGACGATACGAACGGGAATCAGTCGGTACTGTGTGATATTCCCTTCCTTCTTGCACGCAGGCGAAATACCGGCAGGCAGGGAGGCAGGCAGGCAGGCAGGCAGGCATCTAACGCTCGTCTGGATCAATAACAATCAGCACCACCATCATCATCATTAGCTCTCCCAAACACAACCCAGGGCTCTGGACGAACCCGCTAATCCATTTGAAACGAGGCTCTGGAGATGCACACCCTGGCGCGTGGACTGAGGCTTCATCCCCAAGTTAAACGGAGCGGCGGCCTTCGCTACACCGCGCACCCGGACAGGGACACACGTCGCTAAAATACCGATCCTTCAGTTACGTAATTCTCTAGAGGAGGTAAGTGACGTGATGATTCGGTCGACAGTACCTAGTAAAGCTCGTCTCTCTCACTTAGAGCGATTCTACCAATATATACAATACACACTACACATACACATACACACAAACACATCATATGAAAATCATGGTAAGGGCAAGTGGAGTGTATTTAATTGCGAGAGCGTGCATCATGCGGCATTCGATCTCCGTAGATCCGGAGACCCATCCCGATACTCTCTCAGCTCAACAGATCCTTAAAAAAAAAACAAAAAAAAAAAAAAAAAGTATAACGACCCCGGCGTAAATCTTCTTCGCCCTCTTATCCTTATCTGTCTTCCAACCCCGACCAACCAACCTGCGATGCATTCACGCGCCGCCGTTGCACACATTGTATCCGAGATGGAGATTTTCGCATGTGCGTGCATGCCATCCGTCGACCGGATTCAACCCAATCCAACCCAATCTTAACAGGAGAAACCCTCAGCCATAAGTAATTAAATACTAGGCCAGAAGGCAGGTAGATACAGTGTGAAATTGCATTGTTCCAACGCAGTTTGAAGCAAAGACCAAAAGAACAGAAAAATATATATATATATATATACATATAAATATATCATCGGCCCTGGTCTCGCTTGCCCTGGGCTGGCCTGGTTTGCTCGTGGCCAGCCGGGGAAGAGAGAGGGGGGGAGGGGGGGGCCGCGGGATGCGCCGGCTCCAGATTTGCGAGGGGGAAAAAGTATGTACTGTACATAGGCTATAACCCTAAATCGAAAACCGGAGAAGTTCATCCGCCACCTTTGTCGTATATCGTATCTGCCAGAGCGGCGCAGGCTGAGCCTTGCGAAGAAAACGTCCGTACGTATAACTGGTTGTATAATGATCAACCTCGGCATGGCGTCAGCTGGATTGGAGCGTCGGTTTGCTTGTCTTATCTCTCTCCCGCTGCAGATTCTTGTCTGCACGTAGCGGCTGCGAGTCGCTCGACGGGAGGGGTATAAGATGTGCTGTGATATGCCACCTCGCGCCGGCACAGCCTCGTGGCAAACGAAAACGATATGGTCGGTTCAGCTCGCCTGCGGGGAGTTGCCCCCGTGGTGGATTTTCACCCCATCTTCGGACAGAGAGAAAAGGGAGGATCTGGTGCGTAAGAATATTTCATTGGATATCTTGCACTTCCGGGCATGGCTGCGTAGCAAACGAACGCTTGCCATGATCACTTCCAGCGCTCCGTGACTTTCCTCTCCTGTGCCCAGTTCGCCCGTCCGTGCTCCATTTACCCCTCTCGTGAATATCGTTGAGGTATCGTTATAAGATCCAGCTTCCTTCCTTCCTTACACCAGAGGTATCCGAAATTGTACAATGTTGAAATAAAGTTCCCCCAAGACAGACGCAGCCCTCGAAGCAACTCCCATGACGCCTCGCTGAAAAACGTAAATCAAACGTCGTTGGCGCATTGTTGAGATGCATCGATTCGTTGTGGTTGAAACCGGGAACAGACTTCAAAGTGTGACCGAGGCACAGAATCCCCGAAGAGAGATGTTTTGCGAGCGTTTCATCCTGTCATTTACAGAGATAACATTTCCCCTCCACCAAGATGTATCGTTCATGCGGGCCTCTCGTGCAGCTTCGGTCCTTCTTCCCATCGGTAGTACAGCTGAAGAAGTGTGCTCCGGGATCCACACAGGAGGTATAGATATAGTAGTTCTTGGTGTATTCGCACATTTTGTCGCAAAGGGTTTGAATGTATGAATGCAGGTGAATCTGCAAGCAGGATGTCAGTGAGAAATCCAAATCGTCAAGCATGCAGGACAACCTACGGGAACGTAGCAGGAAAGGGGATTGAGAAGAGGTTGAAGCAAGCAAGTGAATAGGCGGTTCAGAGTGCGATTGGATACTGAAGAAGAGGAGTTGGGAGAGCTGTTCCAGCAATTCCCCAGGGGTTTGCATGTGTGTATATATATGTCATATACTTATATGTATGTCAAGCTGAAGAGCAGTTGAGCAAGGGCGTAGTGGCCAAGCCCGGATCTGATCTTCCCTGGCTAGCAAATGGAACAATAAAAAGCAAACTGATAAAAGAAGAACTAGAGTATGAAATAGACGGCCATTTGCGTCTAGTGGGCACAACAATCTACTTATGTGGCAAGGCCAGCTTTCTGAGCTATGGCCGCCAAGTTTGCCTTGTAACAAGAGCTTCGACAGCGGCAGAAGCGCAGCGAGCATGGACAGGCATAAGAAATGGTCAGACCAAGTCAGAAACGAGCAGCAGGTGAGGTTGATCCACCACTGTGTGCTCGAATGTCAATAGGTACCGGCGGCCCTAGCCTCTACATCACGGCTGTTCCTTGACATGGTCTTACCCGAACCATCCTTCCGACTGTACATGATCTAGCGAAGAATTAATTATTATTATGATCTTTGCTGGCTAGTGGCACGGGCATAACGTACCTGTACAGTACTGTACGTAGTAATACTTTTGAATATGCAGATGCAGGGTGAGTGAGCGGGGGACGTGGAACGGGGGGGGGGGTGCGGGGAGGGAGGATGGGAAGGGGGGAGTGTCTCGTCTCTCGGGGAGGTGGGATTTTCAGTGTTGTGTATGAAAGAAAGAAACAAGCGCCGAGCGGCCGAGCGGACAGCAGTCGTAGGAGTGTACTACTAGATTCTAGGTTCTAGGTTTTAGGTTTTAGATTCCAGGAGTCGGTAGGTCCAGGACTCCAGGTCCAAGCGGGAGGAATGCGATGTGACGGGTCTGGGTGGTCTGGGTGGTCTGGGTGGGTGGGTATAGGAACGGGAGCGGATGTATGGGAATGTACGGGATGTGGTTGGGATGTGGTTAAAAGAGCCGGAGAACTTTCGCTTCGTTAGCGTGTACCCTAACCGAACACCGTCCGTACTCTGTACCTGAACGTCCTCCTTCCTCCATGCAACATTGATTTATTTATTTATCTATTTCCCCTGTCCTGCGGTCCTGGCTGTGGAATGCGAACAACGAATAAATACTACGACGTAACTGGTTCAGTGTTCATACCCTGTGGTCTATCACTTCATGCAACTCCCTACCAAGATTATATGCAAGTAATTATATGCAAGGAAGTCCTCCGTAGATATGGAAAGCCTGTCCCACCGTCATGACTATATTAAGTACACTATAGGTTGAATGGATGGATGATTATCGAATCAATTGTCTCAATTTCACACTATACAGAATTATCAAGTGGGACAATAATGACGGGCTGCTGGTGGTAGGCAGCTGAGAGCCGGGCTCGACTTTACGCTTCGCAGCGCTGCCCAACGCTCAGAGAATCCTACTCCGTAGACGAGTTCTCTCGGAGGAAGATGCAGGCACAGGCACACACATACATACATACGTACAGAGTACATCAAACACCGTCTGAGCGGCATCCGCCTTCCGCCTTTTTCGGTATCCTCAATTTCTGACGGCGATCGATCGCGATCATCGCCACACCAAAGGAGAAGTCTCATCAGGGTCTGGAAGATAGGGCATCCGAGCTGACAATATCTATCTATGTATATATATATATATATATATATATATATACTATCCCACTAGGAATTTCCCCACAATCAAGCAGGCAGGTCAACGTCATGGCGTCTGAAGGACAAAGTCAAAAGTCCGCCGGAGCAGGTCTGTGCAGATCCAGATGCCGATGCCGTTTAGGGGTTCGCGTCGGCCTGGGACCACGAGTGTCCATCTGACAACCACACCTTCGATACTTTGATGTTGCACGGAGATAGCAGCCGAGTCGATAGACCGAGCATATGTCAGACATTTGCGGCTTCTGGGCTGGAGATCTTTTGATCCATTCCTTTTTGCTTGACAAGTCATCTTTTCCTTCGAGGCTAAACCGTTTTCGATAAGTGACTGCTCACGAAAAGAACATTCTAAAAAGTGATGAATATCATATCGGACTTTATATAAAGCCAGGATCTATCGAAGATGCTAAAATTATTTGAAATCTTCTGCAACTCTTTGAAAGCGGTGTACGATTCAATTTCGCACATGTTCACTCTTTGAAAAAAAAAAAACAATATATATATATGTATGTATGCATTATTCGAAGCGGTGGTTCTTTTATAACTCCAAATTATATTTAAAAAGCCAAAAACTATTAGGATAACAACCAAGCACTGGGAAAGAACTAATAATAACAAAGAGCTAAAGGTTAACATATCAACTACATCAAAAGAGCGCTACTTCAGATCGCCTCAATTCCGAAATAAAGGGTTCGCATTGCACGACAAGAACTCGTGGCTAGACGAATAATACACAAGCAAGGCCAGAAACAGACAGAGACCAGCTACCTACCTAGTCCCTCCCTCCATCCATCCATCGATCCACCCATCTACCACACCCCTCTCCGTATTCCAAATAAACAGATCTTGGCCGTACCCGTTCAAAAATGCAAAGATACAAGCAACCGAGAAGCGAGAAGCGAGAAGCGATCATTCCTTAATCGATAGTCGCGGTCTGGTCTTTTCCTCTCCCGGCGGTAACTTTTCTACACTTCTACATCCGACAATCGTACCGCCCCCCCCCCCCCCCCCCACGCTTCCCGCTACACGGGCCGCCGCCATTCATGCGACTTCCGGTCGAGCAGCCGTTTGGCTTGAATAGAATGAAGCGCGCGCGCGCGGAGTAAATTGGTTTTTATGGCTCCTCTAGCTTGTTTGGTGTGCGGTGTACAGATTTGTATTCCTTATTAAAATAAACAGCATCCACTAATTTTCCCCCCCTTGTTTTTTTCCTTTTTCCATATTTTCTTCTTTTTTTTTGGTTGAGGAGGAGAGAGAGGGGCGAAATGAGGGGCGGGGTTGAGATGGGTGGTGCGGAGATGTTGAGGAAGAGGGATTCAACACGTACGGTGCCATTAATGTAGCAGAAGGCGAGTTGGCGCTTCGGAGAAGCGCCGCATTGGCCGTTAATTAGGCCGTTGTTGGGGTCCTCCTGGGGTAGGACTTTGCTGAAGCTCCATGATGAATGAGCCCCTTTATTTCTGGCCTTTGGGAGCCTTTATTTCTGACCTTGGGGGGAGTACCGGTAGTCATTTGGTCTGGAACACCTCAAAGTCAAGCTACTTGATAGTACTACTACCTATATCCGCTGCTTCCAAATTACCACGGAGCCCCCGGCTTCCTCTCGACTCGCGCGGAGCCTCCTCGAGCTGATCGGAGACGAACGATTGTGCACACAGCTGCCGGAAAGCATGGAGTCTGGGAACGGACAAGGCATGATGTCGAAGCTTCAAATCCGCGAGAAGCTGAGTGTCAGCAAGAGACTATTGATATTACACCACTTGTGTTCTGACCTACTGAATTGAGCCAAGAGGGTCGCCTGTTCAGATCACTTGAAGATCTTGGAAAGGGCATTACAAACTAACATGTTCGTAGTGTCACTTGACCACCGAGGTTACTGAAATACTGATGGATTGACTGAGGTCTCGGGGTGACATGCCCAGCTGGCTCCAGAAATCGCTAGGTGGCGCCAGCTAGATGCTGTTCCAAAGAATCCAAATCGATCATGGGCTAGCGCTGAAAACATCCAGCCGTCCAGCCACCCAGCCATCATCCAGGTAGCACCGAGTGGCGTGCCTGTCCGACGAGCTCATGAATGATCCCGGGAAGCTGGGACTGTCAGAGGAGAATATTTGGACGGTCGATCTTGCAATGTTTCCAGAACAAGGGTTCGCGGAGACATGCATGCGAGATGGGATTTGGGATCGATGGCAGTGCGACTCGGAAGAGGACCCCGTCGACAAGGCATTGGTCATTGTGTTCCCGGTTCCTACGAGATCGGTGATGTGACACCTCAGTTACCAAGAGCCTGGGATTTTGCTTTTCCGGGAATATTGGTTGTCTCTCCTCGAGACATGGCAGCAGTGTATGGACAACACAGTTGGAAAACACAGTGGGACGACCCTTTCCACGACTCGAGGCTGCAAGAAGAATCAATAAACAGAATCAATAGTGAATTCTCACTTTCATCAAGAATCAATGGTGAATCTTCCATTTTATTACAGGCTAAACGCCAACTCGCCAACTCGCCAATCCTCGCGCGTTGTCCAGCGACTGGGGCACACTGACTCCTAGAATAATCACAAGAGCGCCATAACAGCTGCGAGGAGACCTCCGAGGACACCAGCACCAATGCCGGCCGCATATTTAGGAGCTGCACCAGCAGTAGGAGTCGGAGAAGCAGCCGCAGGAGCAGCAGCAGAAGAAGCGGCGCTAGGGGATGCGCTGGGCGTAGCAGAAGTACTTCCGTTCCCTGTCGACGAATCGCATACTATAGATGTTGGTAGATCCGTCACACCGTTCGCAGAGCAGATGTTTTGAGCAAATGTGACGACCCCGGTCTGCTCTTCTTTCGTGCAGCTCTTAACCAGGCAGCACGCGATGGAGTCCAGAAAGCTATCATTGGCACAGATGCAGTCGACGCTCAATCTGTCGCAGCCCTCGAGGGGAGTCAGCATTCGCTTTGTTTGTGGACAGGACTTGACTACTCCTGATCTTGAAGAAAAGATCGTTGAGGAAATGAGGGGTTTCCCCGGTACCTACAGCGATCGTTTGCCCCCCTCCAGTCGTGTATTCAAGAACACATGGAGTCTAAAGATAAAGGTCAGTACAAGCTGCTGCGGTCCTAGAGCCTGGATCCTAGATTTGACTGACAGCACAAGATGGCAGGCCGCTGAACTGGGCGTGTCCCAGAGAAGCCAGCGCGCTGACGAGTGAAACAAACGCGACCTTCATGACTTGGATGTTGAGAGAATAGAGGGACTGGGAAGTTGAGTGTAGTCGAGTTCGAATAAGACTGAGAGAGAAGGCAAAGAGAGAGAGAGAGAGAGAGAGGGGGGGAACGTGGGTCCTACTTACGGAATTGATCTGCCTTTACTGGACGCCCTGATCCTTCGAGAATAAGATTTGGATCATGGCCGTTTGGTGCACCTCTCATCTCGCTTAACCTTATAGACTCGAAGAGATCCTGGCTTTACTTGTACTACGTAGTCGTACGTAGTACTACTACGTACTTCGTACTGCGTATCAAAACACGAAAAGTATATTTTTACTAGGGGTTGACCAGGGGATTGTAACCCTAACGCTTGTGAAGCAGTTCCTCAAGAATTCATTATTTCTTTATATAAACCGTAGTAAAATCGATATCAAGCGATGATTGATGCTCATGGAACACTTTACAAATTCTAGAAAATAAACATACACGTTATTTTGCTACATTTAATAAGCGGTCAGCTTTAAGGTCCAAATATGCTTTCACCAAGTGGGTCCGTCTTTTATTCAGGGGGATAGTAGAGAATACAAGTCAATCAATCACGACCATATTCATCAGAAGCTTCCTTTTATGATCTAGTATCATTACTAAATAAGTATTAGCGATAATAGTTATCGAGATTCTATAAATATACTTGTAAAGATACGTCACTTTGAGAATCGATTTATCGATATCGTGTTTTTATTTGTTGATAATCAAGTCTTTCATATCTAATAATAAAAAGAGACTTAGTTTCTATCCACTAACCTCCCTCCTTTCGAAATAGATTGAGCTCAACCCTGTTGTCGAAAAAGATAAAGAAAAGGAGCAATCCAATTGCTTACTAGATCCTAGCTCTAGAGTACAGTCCAATCTACAGGTACAACCCATTCCGTCGTCAATCGTATGCCTATCATAGGCCCGCAGTAGGCAAAGCGAGCGAGCGGATACGGCTTTTATTAGAGCTAGTTCCAAGAGCAAGGAACTTTCAGGATCGTGCCAGGCGTGAGTGTGTTGCTCGTAATCGCGTCGGGGTTGTTGGACGTCAAATCCTCGACAGTTGAGCAAAAATCTTCCGCAACCGGTGTCACCTCGTCACCCTCGACGACCGTGTAGTAGCCATCATTACTGCCCGGTATCCGAGAGCAATCGCGCGTTCGAACTTTGCAAGGAACATAGCAGATGTCTCCGGGTTCGAAAGAGATGCCAGGGTTCATTTTTTGCATCTCTACTTGATTGGTGCAAAAGTCACCCGCGACAGAAATCCACGTGTCGAGTACTGTAAAGGTGTAAAAGCCGGCGCCGGTGTCGCTTTTGGTGTCGGGCCTGCAGCCTCGACGGAGAGCGGTTGCGACGCCGAGGAAGGAGGCGAGCCAAAGGAAGTTGTTATTGAAACGCATAATGGAGTTGGTAAACAAAGGTGGATCCTTCTAACGATTTGAGCTTGTAAGATCGTAGAGCACTGTAATGATAATGTGTGGTCGGATTGAAAATACGACGAGGAGTAGCTCATCTTAAGTATGATTGTGACTGCGAAGAGGCTCGGCAATTTCGTAAATATTATTTTAATCGCTACTATCCCACTCCCTAAATAAAAGACGAAAAGTATATTTTTACTAGGAGTTGACCAGGGGGCTGTAACGCCAACGCTTGGGAAGTTGTTTCACAAGAATTCATCATTTCTTTATATAATTTGTAGTTAATTCGATATCAAGCAATGATTGAAGCTCATGAAAGACTTACAAAATACAAGAAAATCAATATATACGTTATTTTGCTACATTTAATGACCGGTCAGCTTTAAGGTCAAAATATGCTTTCACCAGGTGGGTCTTTTATTCAGGCAGGGGGATAGTGAGGATCCGTACCGTTACTTATCGATACGGGCAGCGCTCAAACTCTGTAGTGGCGTTGGGAAACGGTTATCGAAATTTTCTCTCCTAGAAGTACGTAGTACGTAGTACGGTAGTAGTACATCTCACCATGAGTTTGCGTTTCAGAGTCAAACTTTAGCCAAATGCTGCGAGAGACTCCCCCACCGGACTCGTACTATATGTATTACGCCTACTACTGTACTGTATCCCCCCACGAATACATGTCGGACCCAGTTTAGGCCCATAAATCATAGAGCGGTGGTTTCTGAATGGCTCAAAGCCCTGTCAACCCCATTATACAGACTGAAAACCGACCTAAATATAGTACTACGTACTTTTCAAGGCTGGATTCTTCTAAGTTGATTGGTTTGAGCCGTGGTAAGATCCCTTGCGAAATTATACTTTCGACATGTACTACGCACGTAGTATTCATGGGGGGGATAGTATCAAGGCATTTGTTTACAACCTTAGCACCACGGCTGCGGAGACAACCGTTACTGTACAGTACAGTAACAATACTCTGCAAAGTATCCCAAAACCCTTGGCTCTCTTTGCCGTCCTCCTCCGTATCCCTTGTGCGAGGTCTGGTTGGACGCAAGGTACCCTAAGTATACTTTTCATTTTTTGCCGAGAAGACACCTTCCCGCTTGCACTTGACCGGAGCTTGTACGGGCTCCTGGGATTGCGGCACCTTTGCGGTGCGGAATATTCGAGAACATTGAATATCGTACAGCCTTGGAGTTCCGTTTACTCCGTACAAGTACTACGTATGTTCAAATCTGGGGGCTCTGTTATCCAACGAAACGCTGTCGATCTTCACGGTTCGGTGAGATGAAGTTTCTGTTTACTGTACGAGTTGGGTTGCTATGGGTCCAGTCCAACCTTACTTAGACTTTTAATTCGTACGTCTGGGCGTGTGTCACATATCAGCGCTCACTACCGGTACCGGCTCCGGTACTTCACTTCAGCTTGTACTCTCTAAGTACTTATCCAGCCCCACAAGCTCTGCCTTATGAACGCGTCGTCCTTGGAGCTTTGCTAAGGCTCATCTGCATTGAGTGAAGTTTTTGTCATTGATTCCTTAGAATCTCAATTAATACGCCGACGCTGATTTCCTGTGGGTCCACTACACGCCAGAACAGAAGATGGGGCTCTGGGTACTCGAGTCGTCGTCGATGGCACATGTTCCAGGTATTCATTCATCTGTAGAGACATCAGACTGGGGACAGACGGTAACAATCTAAGGGACGACCCGGTATTTCGACGACCCTGAGCGACCTCGAGCTGCGACGTCAGGGACTGCGGGCTTGAAATGCGACACCAGTGGTTCGGTTCCCATCATTCTGATACCACAGCCGAGCGACGATCCAAACGATCCTCTGGTATGAGCTTTCATGCTCTGTAGCGCCTATCTTCGCGTGTTTGCTTACTTACGAGGCTTAGAACTGGCCGTTATGGAAACGCGATCTGATTCTGTTTATTCTATCCGTGGTATCGATCTTGTACGTGTAAATCCTAACTATTTTTTTTGTCAACATAAGTCGATGTCACAGCGCTGACCTTGACGCAGTGCGACCTCACTAGGGTCAATCTTAGCGGCCAACACACTTACTCTATCCTTACTTTTCGAGGAGAGATTTACAGAGATAGCAGTTCTCACCGGGTATTACCTCCTCGGGGTAGGGGTCGCCGGAATACTCTGCGTGCCGTCCGGGAGAATTTGGGGAAAGAGACATTTGTACCTCCTAGGAACCGTAATAGTCTGCGTATCGAGCGCTTGGGGTGGAGCATCAAGAAGCTATGAGTCGCTTCTTGCGGCAAGGATTTTCCAGGGAATTGGAACAGCTCCGTTCGAGGCTCTTGTGAATGCGGCAGTTGGCGACTTGTACTTCGTCCACGTATGTGCTGGGCCCTGAGATACTCCAATACTTGCTGATGTGTGACTAGGAACGAGGCAAGCGTATGGCACTCTCGAACTTGGCTGTGTTTGGAGGCGCCTTCTTCACTCCCATCTTGGTTGGGAAGATTACACATACCATCGGATGGCCTTGGACGTTCTACTTCATCGCTATATTCACTGGCGCCTGCCTGCCTTTCGTCATCTTCTTCGTGCCCGAAACCGCATACCGCAGATCGCCGCATCTGAACATCGATATGGCTCCCTCGGGCGGGAGTGAAGAAGACATCCACATGTACCACAGACTTAGCAGTCCCGGCCGTCAAACTCGAACATCTAACGAACCAGGAGCACCGACGGCCCAGAACATGGGCGCGAAAGACAAACAGGCTTTCGCGGATAGCAACAACCCCTCTTCCGGAGCAGATATTCCGAAACGAAGTTTTGCAGAGACGTTACTCCCCTTCAACGGCAGGAAGACGGATGAGAGCTACTGGAAATTACTGATTCGCCCGCTCCCCCTCTTTGTGCACCCTGCCATCATGTGGTCAACTCTGATCCAAGGTAAGCTTGCGCGCATCCCCCTTCCTACGCTCTTCACGGTAGCGAAGGTGGGCATCGGATGGGTGGTCGCATGGATATTTCTGGGAGCCATCGCGGGGGTGCTCTCGCTTATGGGAGACGTTCGCTAACACGTCTGGCCTCAGGATCTATGGTCGGCTGGACTGTTTTCATCGGCATCATTCTCGCCGCGATATTCATCGGGCCGCCTCTCTTTTGGGACGAGGTCAATACTGGATACGCCTACACGGGGGCCTTCCTCGGTGCCGTCGGCGGCTTCATAATTGCCGGGGCCCTGGCCGACTGGAGTGCGAAATACATGACGCGCAAGAACAACGGTATCTACGAACCCGAATTCCGGATCGTCCTTGTGATTCCGCAGCTGGTGATCGGCTGTTCCGGGCTGTTCCTCTTCGGCATCACCGCCGACCGGCTCATCGAGTTCTCGTGGGTGTTGCCCGTGTTTGCCTTTGGGCTTGAGGTTGCCGGGATGGTGATTGGCGCTGTCGCCGCGAGTCTGTACATCGTCGATGCCCACCGTAAGCCCTTGACCGCGCGACCTCTCCGCGCGCTGCACCGACTGACGTGCGCAACAGGAGACATCGCCATCGAAGCATTCACCTGCATCCTCATATTCAAGAACTTCTTTACCTTCGGCCTCACGTTCAGCGCCTACGACTGGCTCGTCGAGGCCGGCATCTACAAGACCTTCATGTGGATCTCGAGCGTCCAAATCGTCATTTGCATGCTCAGCGTTCCGATGTGTAAGTCTCCCCCAAGGAACCCCCCTCCCCTCCCCCTAGAGGACTTTTCGCTAAAGTAACTCGGCAGACGTCTTGGGGAAGAAGAACCGGGCATTCTTCCACCAACACGACATCTTGAAGCTGACCGGCTTGAATTGATGCCAAGCACAAGCGAGGCTCGGCTCATAGATCCTGTTGATGTATGCGTGAATGAATGAATGTATGTATGTATGTATGTATGTATGTTAAAAATATAATCGACCTGGCGCAGCTGCTCCAATGCATATTCTACTCCAGAGACACTTCTGCCTCATCTCTTGCTGCGTGAACGAACACACTCCCTTCCGCGCTCCTTCCTTCCCCAGCCTACCAACCCTGGCATTCCCTCGCTAGGACTTACGACCTAAACAAAATGTGGCCTTCCCTCGCCTACTCCAACCCCAGGGCTCCTGCACCAACCCACCTACCTACCCATCTACCCACCCACCAACCCTCCCTCTCCCAGTTTCCAGAAGCGCACAACTCACTCACTCACTCACTCACCGCCCCAAAAACCAGCCCAGCCCAGCCCAGCCCGACCCGACCCGACCGGTCCCGTCTGCAACCACCCCTCTACGCACACGAAACCCTACCTGTGAACGACCAAGCGCCACGACATCCTCCCTATCTACAAGCTCGAACCTCTCAACCCGACCGCTCTCCTCTCCCCGTCAACAGAGTCCCTACCGATACCAGGAAGGACACAAGCCCGCTCGTAGATAGATAGATAGATAAACAGACGGATAGACAGACAAGCGGCCTCCGCACTCTGCCCCCCCTCCACACGAACCACGCTACCCACGTGCGTGACGGGGGCTAGCGAGCCAGGTTTAGCGGCGCGAGGCTTCCCGTCTGCGCGGCTCCGGCTCTGGGGATCCGCGTGCCGGGTTAGGTCGGTCGGTCGGTCGGTCGGTCGGTCGATACGTATAGTAGGTACCGGTACTACTACCGGTACGTACTACGTTGTAAAGTAGGTAGGTAGACTAGTAGTACTGTACGTAGTAGGTATTAAAAAAAAAGTAGTTCCTAGGGGCCTTTCGAACTGCCCCCCCCCTTTTTTTTTTTCTATCTTTTTTTTGTGGCCCCCGAAGCTGTGCGCTGTGCGCTGTGCGCTGTGCGCTGTGCGCACGCACGCACAGACGACCGTCAGAAAAAAGCCTGCTGTCGAGAAGCGCACCCTTGCCGGCGGCGGGCTACTAAAGAAAAAGAGCAAAGAAAAAGTAAAAAGAGTAGAAAAAGTAAAAAAAGTAAGAAAAGTACGTAGAAAAAGTAGAAAAAGTAAAAAAAAAATGTAAAAAAAAAAAGGAGTGAGGGTGATGCGGGCGGGCCGGCCGGCGCCCGGGAGATGGGGCTACCTACTGTATCAAGGTTGGTTTGGCGGCTTGGTTGCCGTGGATAGTGATTGCATTTGCCTTGTTTGGTAGGTAGTAGTAGGTACCGGTAGTTGTGGGTTGTGGGTACCTACTACGTACTACGTCCCAGGGGTAAGTACTACTAGTAGTAAGTACTACGTACTATTACCCCTTAAGTAAAGGAAGGGACGGTACTGGTACCTCCAAAGTGTAGTTTCCACTCTTTAAACCCCCTGGGTACACTACGTACCGGCATCCTCGAGGGGTAATACTACTACTACTTACTACTACTTAACGCTTGGGACGTGGTACCGGTACTGCTCTACTTAGTACGTAGTACCTCTCTGCCTTGCTACGTAAGGTAGGGTAGGTAGGTACTCTACTGTACGACCAACTTGAGAAGCAGGGCCGCGCGCACGGGGCGCAAGTGCGTAGGTAAGTTTATAAGTAAGTGTACCGGTACCTAGTACCTAGTAGTAGTACCTCAAGTAATGGGAGCTAAAGCTTCTGCGGCACCTTTAAGGGGTAACGAGTACGCACTGTACCGTGGTACAGTACCGTACAAGTAAAGATCGTCGACGTTCTGCAAGGGGGGGGGGGGCGGGGGAAGGGTTTGCCGGGTTTCAATTAGGTACAGTACCTTAAGTTACTGTAAGTACGGTAGTACTCCCTTACGTATTGTACATCGGTACCCCGTGACGAAACGAAGGCAAGACAGCAACACTGATTGATGGGCGTGCATGTGATTCAGTACGTAGTACGTCGTATAGTACGTACAGTAGCAATTACCCCTGGTGGCAACTCTCCGTTTCCGGAAACTCGACGGGGGAAAGTATGGTGAGGCCATGGGTAACCGGTACCGGTCATTGGAGCCCTCGCTGTCCGTCCTTCTGTCCCCTGTTTCTTCATTCGGTTCCAAGGATACGAGCTGGTGAGTACGTACCTCGTAGTATGTATGTATGTATGTAGTATGTATGTGTGCCTTGCCGCATACCGTACCTCTTGCCGTGAAGCTTGATTCATTCGTTTTCGAGCCCGCCCATGCGCTGGAAACCTACAAGATACTACGTAGAGACTACAGTATGGGATGGCACACTTTGACTTCTACTTTACTCTGTGAAGAGTTCGTTGGAGATGTAGACATGTCAGAGCCTTTAGCCGACTGCTTTGACGCGCTTTTCGTCGTCTCTTCTTTGCACATACGTGGTAATGCCCGGGACGAAAAAGGTACGGGAGCTCGATCTGCTTTCACAAACACGGATCACGGAGTGGGGGCCAGCGTCAGCGGCACTCTTTACTACAGTACCTACTCCTGCACAGAATGGGAAAGTCTGGGAGGTGGAGAGTAGGTATCCGTAGATGCTCTAGGCCAAAGCTACGTAGTGCCGTGAGTAGTGGGTGACAATCAGGGTGTACGAAAAGTGGTCTTCTAGGCGAACAGATACAACTACCTACTGTAACTCATAGGTGACGGGATTCCTTCCACGTTGGGCAAGGCACTCACTCACTCACCCACAACCAAGTTAAATCCTGCTTTTGGGAGATACGTAGGAGGAGATGGGGTGGAGTAGGTCTCTGTACGTACTGTACAGTAGCAATTAGTCGCGAAGCAAGAGAACTACCTACTGCATGCTGCAGCTGATAGTAGCCGATGGCTGCTCCACCATTCGCAAGTACCGGCATATGGGCTGGCTTCCTTGGACTTGCGGCACTTGGGTCTAGACCATTTAGTAGTACATACCACCGACATGACAAGTTGACAACCGACCTGGCAGGTAACGCTGCCGGCGACAGGAGAAAGTAACGAACGGACTTCATTAACGTACTACTACTACTACTGTACGTATGGTACGTACGCAATGCCGACTCCTGAGGTCGTCGCATAGCCACTAGCAGTGTTCAAAGCGCAGTCAGTGGGGGCGGCTACTGCTTGCTAATCGCCCCGTCCTAGTGTCCGCCGTGGTTGGAGATCGCCCCTCGCCAGCATCGGGGGTGCTGATGCTCGACTCAGTCGGAGGATCTCGCAAGTGTCTTTTTCCGCTTAGCTGACTCGGAGACGGACCCCCGTTCCGTCCACGTTGGCAGGACGCTGTGGAGGGCACATAAACACTGCTGACCATGACTCGCCCGCGTTGTGAAGAGAGCTAGGTTGTTTTGAGTACCTAGTGCCTCTTGATTGTCTCATCTGGAGCTGATAGCGCGAACGGATCTCACGCGCGCCGTCTCATCAAACTCGCCAAATCCCCCCCCCCCCCCCTCCACATACACGCCGCGGACGCGCTTGTTGAACCCTCAAAATGTCCTCTCGGAACCCTTTGCAGGGCAGGATCTCGACCGCGCTCGCAAGCCATCCCCCTTCGAAGATGGTGGGTAATCTCGAGCGAAGAAGAAAATACCGTACGGCATGGCATACGGACGCAGCCGGCTCCTGTTGCGATGGATCAACAGACGATCTTAGACGCATTTTTCGGATGACGGACCACCTATCACAGGAAGCGGGATTTTGCATTTCGCGTTGCCTCGCTCACGTACGGTACCTAGATCCCCATGTCCGCCCTGGTAGCAAGTCTACAAAGCGCAGAAGCACGAAGCTCCGCATGCGAGCGCCAGGACGATCTCTGCGACCCAAAGGCAACGAATCGTTGCGTTGGCAACGCGGAGCTCGTTCTACTCATGCTCGAGGTGCTCTGAGGATTTCAGAGAGACCATGGACTGGAGTGTGTAAGCGACTGCCATCTACCTACCTATGCACAATAGGCGAACGAACCGCGTGGCGCTAGGGAAATGCTATGTACAGAGGCTATGGGGATAAGGACAAGCGCATCAATCGGGTGAATTGAGAGCCGAACGTTTTTTTTTTTTGTTTTTTTTTCCTCCAAGAGCATAGTTCGAGCTCATCCAGCTATGCAAGTCGCTTTTCCATCTCCCAACTACAGTAATATAGAACGCAGAGGTATAGTACTCCCGCAACATTTCTGGGCTCTTTCCGAACTTCCCAACTTGGATCTTGAGATATCACTGAACCGAGAGCCAGACCGCTTCTTGATGGCTACAAGAATTGAGACGCAGTGCGAATGATTGATTGATCCGAATCGAGATCTAGAGGCGACAAGCTCATAAAGGGCCTCGAGGCACCGAGAACACAAATCCAGTTTCTGGTAGGCATGAGAAATAGCCAGTATTTTTGAAAACGCAAAGAACAGAGTATTTTAGCGTCTCCCCCCAAAAATGTGTACACAGAAACTTGAAAAGGTCGTCGAACTCGGAACACCAAGCAACGCAATTTCTCACTTGGGGCAACAATGAAAATCTGGAATAAGAACCACAGACGGGCACTGGGAAAGATTAATCTTGAAAAAGCAGTGACTCTGTGATGGGAAATGCGTAGTGTCGCAACGCATTCGAATAATGACAGCCAACGCCAGACCCCAATCGAAGTACCTGGCGAAAAAACCGGAGTCAAGTATCTACCTCTTCCCTATCACACTGGGCCATTCCATGGCTAAATTGCCTCTTCATATCTTCCGTCGTCAAAGTGGTGTGCATCGTGCTCGATAGCTTCAAGTACTGCCACCAGTGAACGCGCCAGTGCCAACCTTCCACCCCGGAAAGAATTTCACATCTCAATAACGAAGATATCAGCAGCTCCGTCTCCCCATATACCAACAGTGCTCATGGCGAAAGCCATCCCGGCAACGACCGTCCGCGCAATCTGTGTGACCATGAATCCCTCCATTGCCTGACGTACTTCCTCCCCATTGACACTCTCATCCGTCTCCTCCCCAGAAACAGTTCCCTCGCTATCCCTGTCACTAGCACCAAGGACTTCGTAGCTTGCGTCCATTTGTCTGCCTTTTGATTTCTTGACCTTCGTCTTGACGGATCCGGTGCTGGTCGCTGACTTCGGTCTATAGCTTTGAAGCGCGTATTCGGTGAAGCCCGAAGCTCCTACGAAGAGCGATGTCCATAGCAAGTATGGGTGCTTTTGACTTCTGGGAGAGAGCAGGTATGCGAAGAGGAAAGAGCTGCTTGAGATGGCGGCAAGAGCGCGGAGCTGGCTCAAAGAGACATATGCGAGGTTGGAGAAGGCTTTTGAAGCGCTGGTCGCAGATGGAAGCGTCGAAAAGGTGGGCAGAGTCAGCGTGCTCAAGGAGTAGGAGAAGCCCTGCGCGTTAAATTGTCAATTTACACGACTAAGGTAAACGGAGCTTGATGGATTTAAACCTCTCGTGGTGACGGGGGGAAAGAGAGGGAGGAAAGGGAGGGGGAAAGGGGAGGGCAAAGGGGGGGGGTTCGCATACCGTTAGCAGACCCAAAGATATAGATCCCACGAACTTGAGTGTTGACACTGTTTTGAATGCCATGGCTCTGCCTCGATGATTCCTGTCAAGAGTCGATGTTGAAATCCAGGTCTTGTCGTTGTCAAGGCTCGCTCCCCATATCTCGGTAACAACCTGCTCGGACTCCCACCTCACGCCTCATTGTGGCTGATTCCATTCATAGCTCTACCTACTTAGGCCGAGGTACGCCGGGTAAGGCTACCCCAGACTCCAAGATAGTAAAGACGACCTTTGCTACTCCAAAAATCACACTTGATACCACCCCACGACGTCAACAAATATGGCAGCCCTTCCCAAGACCGAGTACATGTCTTCTGTATGGCGTGAAGGCATTTTCGACGGAAAAGTGGTATTTTGTACAGGTGGTGCCGGTACCATTTGCTCAGCCCAGGTCAGGGCACTTGTACATCTCGGCGCCAACGCATGTATTATTGGAAGAAACGTCGAAAAGACGGAATCCATGGCCAGAAGTATAGCTACGGCTCGCAAGGGGGCAAAGGTCATTGGCATAGGTGCCGTTGACGTCCGGAGGATACAAGACCTGGAGGCGGCGGTTGCCAGATGTGTCAAGGAATTGGGAGCAATTGACTATGTCATGTAATGAATCCTTCTCCCAGCGAACATGACAGAACCGATCGAGGAGATACTGACTTGCACTGTCTACAGAGCTGGAGCAGCAGGAAATTTCATCTCCCCTATAGAAGGTCTCTCATCAAATGCATTCAAGACGGTCATCGATATTGACACGATCGGCTCATTCAACACGCTCAAAGCAACTGTCTCTGAACTTATGAAATCCGCAGCGAAGAATCCTAACACAGGGACCAACCCTTCGACAGGCGGAAGGATCATCTTCATCAGTGCCTCGTTCCATTTTACCGGCGTGCCATTGCAAGCTCATGCTGCCGTGGCGAAAGCCGGTGTCGACGCCTTATCCGCCAGTGTAGCTCTCGAATACGGACCCCGCGGCATAACCTCGAATATCATCACACCTGGCCCAATCGCTGGTACAGAAGGCATGGCGAGGTTAGGAGATAAAGAGTCCGAGGCCAGTGGCGAAGCTTTCAAAAAGAATCCCTTGCAAAGATATGGGACGGTGAAAGAGATCGCGGATGGGACGATATACCTGTTCAGCGATGCTGGAAATTTTGTGAACGGGGAGGTTTTGGTCATAGACGGTGGAGATGTAAGTCAAGAATCTCGGTCCAAGGCTAGGCCTTGAGAACGAGATCTTCTCTAATTTTCCCAACTTTGCAAAGGGCCTCACTGACTTGCCTAGTGGCGCTCTCCTGGTACTGTAGGAGGGGCTAAGAACTATCCAAGTTACCTCCTTGATGGTTCTTTCACAAAAGCGAAGGCCGCGAATAAGAGCAAGTTGTAAATCAGAAGACAAGATAGCTGCTTTCATGAAGATATCTATCATGGTGTACATGAATGATGGCGGTCCCAGTCTTGGGTACCCGGGATGATTTATAGTGCAGTAGGCATGGATGAGCGATTGGCGTTAGGCAACACGCCAATATCGCACGTTGACAGAACCTACGGGCCTCTTGCAATCAGAGGGCCTTTCTTTTGCGCATATATTATAGATACGACCGATCGGAATTTTTATTGTTTCGTTATCAGTAAATTGCTCTGATCGAGATACTTCAAGCCGTCTTGAGCGGGATTGCACGCCCCTTATACTGCGCTTGTCACCTGGACTGATTTCGTGACGAGAATAGCGGCTTGAAGTCGATTTTCGTTGTGCCTGGGTCCCTTTATCGCTGGGCCACTTTTGACAATGTTGTCGCCAGTGATTAAACTGAGCTCGTGGCCACCATGACAAGTTATCCGTGGAATCAAAGAACGACTCTTCCAACGTGAGGATCTTGCCGAGACCATTCGGTATAGTTGCTCGCGGGAATACAGTAGGTAATGACGAGACTGATTGCCGTCGTTCCCTCAGTTGAATAGAAGGTAGTGAAACAGGTGACGTGCAATCGCAGGCGACAGTGATGCTCAAGCAAGAGATGGACCAAAAGTAGGCAAGTTCCCAAATGGATAACCCGGCACTTCTTGGACTTCTGCTACCATGGGCTCCCAAGAGTCCGAATAGACACTGTACAGATAGATAGGAGCTGAGGATGAGGAGCTGAGGATGAGGAGCTGAGGATGAGGAGCTGACTACCTAGACGGTCGTTCACCAATGGATGGATACATTCTCCAGCCGGGAGGGAATGTTGACTCTTGCATGCGGATAGGCACGTTTCCTGCTTCTCACGGGATTCGTATCCGGCCAGTAGTCGGTTGCGCTGGGTTGAAGTTAATCATCATTAGCAGCGGATGCCATTTCCGGTGACTGACAAACGAAGACTTTCCCCTTGGAAAACTCACACTTGCCCCGGTCCCCATGAGTGCGCACTATGCTGTGCTTCTTTTCTCTGTCTCGATTCTTTCTTCTTGTCAGACCATCGGCTTTTCTCGAATCCTCGTTGGATTGCCACCGCTGCCTCACCGATACACCATGTTTGCCTGGAAACAAGGATAAGCTGTTTTCGAGTCTCGCCATGCCATCCTCGAGCCACCTCGCACTCGACCTCAAAATCGACTCCGACTTCGACCTCTGCCTCGGCCCTCCACAAGAACGAAAGTTGGTTTTCTCTACTCGAAATGGATCTTCCGTGTCGTCTCTATACACCGTTGTCGGAGCTGGTGGGGCCACATTGAAGCATCCTACATAGCAAGCTGTTCCCTTCAAGCAAGCTGGCGCTGCATCGTAGATCTGATGCACGGGGCCCGGGTAGATTGCCATCTCATCGGGCGTTAGAGTTCAAGGACTTGGTCTGTACTCTCTATCTGTGATCTGTGTTTGGCATCGAAGAAAATTATTGTGTTAGAAGCTAACCATCAGGAATTTCTAGGGCATCGAAACTGCAACGTACCAGATTGTCACCCCTTCCTTGCGGCCTCGGACGCGGGTCAAGCTCCGATGGAATAGACCAGCAACCCATATTTCGACATCGTGATGTCAAATTTCTTGCTTCAACAGGAGCAGTCGCCCAGAGGCCATCGACACATCCCTCGACGCTTCTCGCGACTTGCCCTGCTGCCTCTGCCATGCGCGACAAGCTTGCCGTCGCCACAGTTCGATTACGAGTATTCACGCCCGGCTCAGGGCTATTCACCGGCTTCGACGAGGTGTAACGATCCCAGCCTGGACGCAACACAGCAAGCATGCTCAGTTTTGCATATGCGGATGCTTGCTCGATCGAAATCTGCTCCGCCTGAACTGCATGCACCTCTGTTGTGGACATCCCACCAAAAGAAGGCACAAACGGCAGTGAAGTGAACCCTTGGGGTTCTCCCACCCTATCAACCAACACACCGAACCGAACCGAATCCCTCCTCCCGGACCCTGAGTCCCTCATTTAATTGGGACTCTGGTGGCACCATAATGAACGTGGATAGCACGGCGAGCAGCGCCAGCTCGGCAGTAGGACCTTCGTCGCGAGCACAGAGGGGTGCTATTGCATCGCAAGCGTGTGAGACTTGTCGGTCGAGGAAACAAAAATGCGATGAGAACCGCCCGAAGGTATGTTCACCCGGTCGCTTTGTTGTCGTTGTCTTCGGTGGCTGGCTCGGCAAACGGGTGGTGTCTCGTAGCTGTGGTTGAGCCGGCCACCTGCGTCCAACTTGCCTTGATTATCGCATGGGATCTGTTTGCTGACTCGATCAGTGCGGTCTATGCAAGCGTATTAATCTAGACTGTGTGTATAGAGAGCCACAGCCGACTAAGTAAGTACTACAGTAACCAGGTTGAGAGTTACCACTTTGGAAGCCTCCAACTCCAAACCGATAAATAGCTTGACTTACTGTGTGTTTTCATTGTAGGAAGGACAAGACTCTTGTCGAAATACTGGACAAACTGAAGACTCTTGAAGGTAAAATCGACCGACTTCCCACTGGTCAATCTCATTCGAGTCCTGCGGGGTTTGGACCTCCGCGGGCAGCGCCTTCCAGCCAACCCTCTTTCAATTCCGAGACAGAACCGACTTCATACTCGACACCATCCGCGCGACAATCTCAGCAAGCTAGCCCTGGCTCAGGAAGAAGTCAGCCATATAGACATGCTTCTGCAGCTCACAAAATTTTAAACTGGCCTGCATTTCAGCAGCTTTTGCTACAAGTCCTACCCTCGAGTGGGGATATGAAAGTCGTTGATAACGATGGCAAGAACTTTATTGTGAGCATGTGTAACATCCAGGTTCCACTACCTCTGGATGAACAACTACAGGAACGCCCTTTTGTCGGGATGCAGACTCAGGCTACTAGGTGAGCACCTCCTGCAGAAATATCTTGAAGAATGCATGCATCTATTACAAAGAAAGGAAGTGGTATCTGTAATGTCCTTCGAGACCCTAGACGGTCGAAGGCCTCACTGGAATCTACAAAAGTGCAACTCATTCGCTCTTCACCTCATTCATGATGGAGCGAAGAACTTCGGGGAGAAACTGACAAACCCACTGAGGGATTCGACTTGGTTTGGGCAGATGGGCATTGCAGATATCACTAGCAAGACCTTACTCTGCCATTCCTTGGAAAACGCCCAAGTTCAGTGAGTAAGCCATGCTAATTTGTTTGTTTAGAACTTCAGGGGGTCCACGAGTAAGCTCATCGTCAGACATGACTCTTCGAGATATCGGAATCGCCTGATAGAAGAGTGGAGGGCATTACTAACAACATCCTAGATAACATTTCCCGCTCTGACTCGCGATACTATGCATCGGCTCACCGCAGCGTATTTCGATACTTTCAATTTTCTATATCCATTCATGGATCGGAGGACTTTCGAAAGTGACACCCTAGCAAAAGTCTGCTCCGAGGGCTTTAATGGGGACGTGGACTCTGTGATTGCATTGATGGTATTCTGTTTGGGCGAAGTTGCTATCGAGAGTCTCACAGGTAATCCTATTGCTGAGGTGAATGGACTTAAGTCCGGGATACGGGGAGGTACAAGCAATCGACCTCCTGGACTGGCCCTTTTCAACGAAGCCAGGAAATGCCTCGGCTTCGTTCTTTGCGGACATCAGCTTGAGAATGTTCAGATATTCTGTCTGACCGCGTGAGTTCATCGCTTATCATGTGATCTCATATGCCGAATTGATTCTACGATGATGCTTCCGAGCTGGGGATGACGAACCTGCTAAGAATTTATAGGCTTTATTATCAATCATGCGCTCGACACGCTGTAAGTATCTCCTTAACCGGAAGCTTCATTTTCTTAGCTCATACGTGGTAGGACTTTTGGAGGATGACCGCAATGTCAGCTCAGGCCTGCCATATCTTGGTATCATGGTAAGTGCCTAGCTACACCCCAGTTTCCGGCTTTGTTGACCCTTCGAAGCAATGTTATCGACTGGAATACTCCTAAGGGCGACTTAACTAGACGTGCTGTCTGGCACTGCATTATAATGGAGACTGCTTTGCACATGGAGCTCGACCTACCACTGACCGGAATCCTGGACCTTGGTGATCGAGTAGGGATTCCAAGCTTCAACACTCCATTTTGTGAAGCTGACCACATCGGCAACCAGGCAACGAATTTTGGTAATATAAACATCCTGCTCTCACATGTTGAGTGACTTATCACTTCTTCTTTTCAAATGAAGAACATCTCGTTAGGGGGGTTTTTTCCCCCATGTTTAATATTCAATGCTGACATCAACATTCTAGAGGCTCACTATGCTTCATCTCTTGCTCTGCGACGATTATGTTCAAGCTTGAATGCAAGCATTCACGACTGTGAGTGCTCCCGTTGATTCTACATCAGTGTTCTTAGACACTAACGGGCACTCAGCGTTATCGAACAGTGATACACCTAGCGCAGACGAATATGATGGCCCATCAGCAGCTACCTTAAAACAACTTTCAGGACAGCTTACTCAGTGGCGAGGAATGCTTCCCCCCAACCTCCAGTGGGCTGAGGACGATCCCGCGGCCTTTCCTTCGCCTCAAACAGGAACCGACCTAAGATTCAGTCAGTCCGTCGACCCGAACCTGTCTGCCGTACGAGGCTTTCAGAAATCGCAGTTATTTTCGGCAGACCTGAGCAGTGAACCCACGCAGTATCGCTTCGTTTACGATGTACAGGTCGCCATACTGCGTACGCGATACTACTATGCGAAATACATGGTATTTCGGCCGTTTGTGTACAAAGCTCTCCATTTCCCAGAGCATATGACTCAGGAAGATGCGGAAGGAGTTGCCGAATGTCTTCGCGTATGTTCTTCTACCGGCCCCCCTCTTATCTCAAAAACTAATCCGGTGCAGTCTTGTCTGAAATGGCCCATAGCAATGTCCCCGACCTCACGGCATAAAAGGCTCATCCCATACCTCTTCTGCTGGTCCCAGACATTCCTCTCTATTCTTCTCATCTTCTACCTCACGCAACACAACCCCATGCTTCGAGACATACGCACACAGCTGTGCGGCCCGCGATTCGAAGCGGAATTCGATATCAGCGTCGCGATCATGCAAGATTGGATTCGCGATCTCAAAGCTGTCGATCCTCTCGCGCTATGGTGCTACAAGATACTACAACCTATTTATAACTTGGAGGCGTGATTCGTATACCACTTGTACCTGGTCTAGAGACAAATCGCTGAATTATTAGGGAAAGTAATGAGAGCCGGTGGTGATGGCGCCCACCAGGTCAGGTGAAAATACATTTTTATTCACTGTGTGTGGTTCTTTTGCTGATCTTTGGAATCTCCGGCTGGGTGCAAAACAAAGACGTCAAATGTTTCCACCAATTTAACTTCATCACATATGTCTCACATATATCTCATTTCTCCTACAAAATATATTATCATACATTCAGATCCGCGTTGGATTTCTCCAGCCCCGCTACGCGTTGATTGGTAGATTTTTCTCATTCCAAGGTAAGGTCGGGATAATCAACCCAGAACCATATAAACATAATAGGCTTTTTTTTTTCTACGTTATATATTCGACGGGTCGAAAGAAATTCCCGAAAGATGTATCGCATGGAAGCCGACAACGATTAGAATCCCTGCTGGCGATGCCACTTCGCTTCCCATCCAGGAAAGAACGGGCTCTCGGCCAGTGTCGCAACGTTCCACTCATCCTGCCCCTCGATCTCCGGCACCACCCACCCCTTCGCGACCTGCTCCCGCGCATACTCTTCCAGCTTGGGGATGCAGACGTGCTCCGTGTGCCAGGTCCCCTTGTACTCCATCAAGCTCCTCTTGCCCTCCCTCAGGATGGTGAGCAGGAGCGCCGGAATGTACGGCTCCTGGCGCAAATCCGTGACGGGCGTGAACAGCGCCTTGAAATTGAACACGACGGCCGCGCTCAGCGGCAAGCGCCGGAGCGTCTGCCAGTCGACGCGCAATCGGCACTCCTCGATCTGCAACGCGGGGTCCTGGGTCTCGCGGAGTGCCTCGTGCGGGTGGCCGGGGGGCACGAAGAGCGGGGAGCCGACCTCGAGCCCCCAGCTCCCGCGCTGGATGGGCGCACCGGTCGCCATCTTGCTGAAGAAGCGGTCCATGCTGAAGGCCATCTTCTCCCGGTAGTCCGGAATGCGGCGGTGGATCTCGTCGAGCCGCAGCCCGATCTTGGTGCCGACGTGCCAGCCGAGCGAGCTGCAGATGACGCCGGCGCGGAAGTAGTACCTGCCGTCCGTCTCGCTGCGGAGGACGACGGCGAAGTCTTCGGGGACGTGGGCGAGGAGGATGTGCAGGGGGTGGAAGCGCCGGATCACCGTCTCGGTGCCGAGGATGCGGTTGTGGAAGACCTTCTTGTCGGCGGAGAGGGCGAAGTGGCCGGGGTATCGGGCGCAGTAGAACTGGAGGCACATCTCCATGAGCTCCTTGCACGCGAGTTCCGAGCCGGGGAGGTAGTCGAGCACTTGGCTGCCGTACTCTCGGAAGAGCTCCTGACGCTCCTTGATCCTGGCCGTGTACGAATTCTCGACCTCTAGCCACCAGTCAGGCTCCATCTTGTGGAATGCTGGAGAATTCGTCAGCGATGCTCCAGGTTTTCTTTTCTTTTTCCCCTTCTTCTTGTTCTTCCTTTGCGTTCACTTCACCTACACATGGTCTGATGATATTTCCACCTGAACGGTCGGTAAGGTCTCGGCAGAGCCTTTGCGAGATCAAAGTTCTCATATGCCTTTGGAAGGGGCACGCCGCTCAACACATCGTAAGCGGGAAAGTCGCCCATGGCCTTGAGTTCGGCGGTCGAGAATCCGGTCGGGGTATATTTCGGCATCGCGTGATCCAGGCTGTAGTAGGATAGCGTCGTGGGCAACGCATTCTTGACGATGAAGTCATCCGAGAGTTCGGAGCCAGCGCCAGCGGAGAGGAGTCCTCTCGCCGCCGCAGAAAGGGGAACGGTCTTGACCAGGTCTGCAAGCGCGCACCGTCTAGAGGGTGGCAGGGCCGTGGAGTAGTCTGGTCCTCCTCGACTTCCTGCCGAGGAAGCAGCCTTCTCGCTGGGTGGTGCTATGGAGCGGGGGGTTGTTGAGGCTGCCGATGCTCGTCTTCTCTGCAAGGGAAGCCTAAGTCTCACCAGGACCGCTTCTCGCTGTCTCTTGTTTACTGCGAGGACGATGGCTGCGGAGAGGAGGAGGAAAGCGCCGATGCTGAGTAGCCATTGATGCGGGGGTGACACGAGAGGCATTTTTAGAACTCGCTTGATCTTTGGCCGGTGATGACGATGGTGATTGCCAGCGGGTATATTATTTTACAACCATCTGATACATATATTGAAGTGGAGTGGAGTGGAGTGGAGTGAGGCGAAGTGAAGTGAAGGCGTGCATGCATGCACAGAAATAAAGGTTCATCTCTCTAACGGTCTATCCATCTATCGTCCGGCCCTGTCTGACCTTAAATGCAACAAACAGCAGGCAGGCAGGCAGGCAGCATCTCTGTCTCCTCCTGGCCCCCGAGTCCCCCGATCTGAGTGAGTATCTGACTGACTGACCGGCTGACGTGACGCTTCTGGGTATCAGAACCCGAGCGACCAGGAACAGCGGCGGCGGCAGCGCATGTCGTGCTGCACCGTGCTGCACCCCGCTGGTTAACTCTCTCGGCAAAACCCAGGGATCGGACTTCCTCATAGAGACAAAATAAAAGACCTAGAACACGTGATCGACCAGCTACACCACAAGGCTCGTTCATGCACGCATTGCGTGACTTATACGAAGTGGCTTGTGGCACTTGAGCATATGCAGCCACGTATAAGAGAGGGAGAGAGAGAGAAGATAGGGTGGGATAGAAAAAAAAAAGAAAAAAAGAAGTGAGTGTATGCATGCATGAATGCGTGCATGCATGCATCTATCTATCTATCTATCTATCTATATATATCTAGCTTATATAATCTAATGAAAGGCGTACTTTACCTCGCACGACTTCTGATATCCAACCCCCCCCCCCACCTCACCTTTTTCTTCTTCTTGATATATTTCTTGCGCAACGCGTAGGTATTAGTACATCGAGGATAGATAGTACAGCTGCTGCAGCTCAAAAATAAAAAAGGCCGCAAGTTCCTTCCGCACAGACGAAATCATCAAGGTAGGTATCACACGCGGTATTGAAGCCTCGAGAAAAAGAAGGAAAAAAAGAGAGAAAAAAAAAAAAAAGGAGGTCTGACACTCTAATCGTCGGTTTCCTTAAATTTTAATTCGAAAGAATTGACCGACTGGCTGCGCCAGGTCGGGATTTTTTACAAATTAAATTCAAGGTAACCGACGATTACAAGCGTGCCAAAAACAAAGTCACATTTTTATTATTTTATTTTTAATTCTTTTATTATTATTTTAATATGTGATCAAAAGCCGCAGGGAGGAGGGTCGATCATCAATGATGAATGTCTCTTTTAGCCAGCGCAGCAAATATCCACGACGAAATAGATGCAGACAAGCAGAACAAGAGCGGACAGACCTTGTATGTAGCAAGATACGTTGCTGCCTTCATCAATAGACAGACGACAGTACTATTACAATACGTTGGCTCTGAAAGAGAGAGAGAG